AGCGAGGCGAGGCAGGTGCGGCCATGACGGGCCTGGCGCTTGCTGCGCCGTGCTTGGGGCCAGGGGCACACCAGGCTCGGCGGAGACGGCGCATCAGGGTGTAGAAGCCAAAGTGGCACCGCGCGCACCGCTGAGGAAACTGCTCCCTGGTGCGCACAAAGGCCGCCTTCCTCAATAGCGGCCGTCGGGCCGACACACAGCTGGTTGTTCGTGCCCTTGTTGCAAGCCGCAGCCGGCAGACTCCTCCGCAGCTAGTGTTCTCCCCGCTCCAACACTTGTGCACCTCCCTTGGGCGTGGGGCCAAGTTGTGCAACGGATAGATACATCCCAGCCACTGCGCAAGAAGCGCTCCTCCACGTTTTCCTGGGCGAATCAGCCGCGGCGGCCTTTGTGCAAGCTGCCGCGCGCGCACCTTCCGGGACCCGGTCGCCCCCACTGGCATTGGCCACGCAGATGGCCCTGGCGACGGCCGTGATCCGTCTTCCAGCTCGCCGTCCAGTTCGTCGGGCACCCACAACAGCAGCAGCACCACCACCAGTTGCAGCAACCCGCCTTTACCCGTCCCTGATGCAGCGCCGACACTGCGTGATTCACCACACTCCGTCACATCCTTGCCCTCGCACCCGCCCCAATGCATCCGGCATAGCGTCGGGATCGCAGCCCCTACCGGCGAATCCGGCCACTCGCCTGCAGCTAGCCCTGTGTCGCCGCCAACGGCCCCGCCACCCAACCAACAACTCCCCCCCGTCTGCAGACCAGTTGCATGGTCCGCGTTTGCAAGCAGCCTTGGCCAGTTTCGACCCTTTCACGGCCACGGACCTTGTAGCGCAACCTTGCGCCTTGTTGCGGACGCCTCCCCCCTTCTGTAAGCCACAATTGCGACGTGCCCTGAGCACCACCCTCCAACTCATCCGTGACGCGCATGACATTACTGCGCCAACAGCGACCCGTGCATGGAAACTGTGGCTCTTCCTGCCTCGGATGCTGCTTTGGCGTCCTGCTGGGTCCCCACGTGTCCCAAAGACCCAGCTCCTGGCACGGTTCCAGTCATTTTTCCGGGGCGAGTGGGCCCCACTGGTTGCATGCTGCCATGTGTGAAGCTGGGGCTGTGGGAAGGTCGACCTCCACGTCGCCGGGCTCACCCTCCCGCCGAGCTGAACGACCCATCCAATGTGTCCACCTGGGTGAGCTGTCACTTGTTCGCCAAGCTTTCGATGCGGAACCACTTGCGGTTAAGCCGTATGGTCCGCTTGGGTCCGAAATCTTGGATTTCCAGCCTGATGTGCCGGTGGCACTAGACAGGACAGCGCTGCTCGCTAACTTGCGTCGGGCCCGCAAGGGTGCGGCACCTGGCCCTACGGGCCTCACGGCCGAAATGCTATGCCTCGTCCTGGATGCGGAAGAGTCCTGCCAGGCCTTTGGAGACGTCGCAGTTTTCCTAGCCCCGGGCATCTGTGCCCGAACCCATCGCTGCTGCGTTGGCGATCGGGCGTCTCGTTGCCTTGCGCAAGCCCAACGGCGGCACTAGGGGTTTAGTGGTAGGGGATTTCCTGCGACGGGTTGTTGTGCCTGCTTGCCTCACCAACATGCGCTCACGGCTCGCGCTGGGTCCGAGGCCCTCGTCCATGCGTTGCAAGCCCGCACTCAGCTTGATCCGAGACTCACACTGTTTCCGTTGACGTCACTGCGGCATACGACCTCATCAGCCGCCAGGCAATGCTGCAGGCCCTCCGGCATACACCCGAGGCCTCGGTCTTGTTGCTTTTCATGCGTTTGTGGTACGCTCGTGCCTCTTCCTACGTCTGGGCTGCCGGGCCCGAGGTGCACCGAATCACTCAAGCAAAAGGTGGGGAACAAGGCGACCCGCTGATGCCAGCCGTGTTCTCATTAGGTCATTAGGTATCGCCCCGGCCCTCAGTGCGTTGCAACACGAGCTTCGTGAGGGCGAACATGCAGTCGCGTACCTTGACGACATATGCTTGCTTTGCTAACCCGACAGGGTCGTTGCCTTGCACCAACGGCTGGAAGAACTTCTTTGGGAACATGCCCGTCTCAGCCTCAACGCTGCCAAAACTCGGGTTTGGAATGAAGCTGGCATTGCACCCCCTGGTATTCAGGCCCTCGCCCCTGACTCCACCATCTGGACTGGTGACCAGGAACCGCCCGAAGCTGAGCAGGGTCTCCTCGTTTTGGGAGTGCCGTTCGGGGCTCCAGCCTTTGTTGACAACCATCTGTCCCTCCTCGCTGACCGCCATAACTCTTTGTTGCAAGCTCTTCCTGGCTTGGCGGACACTCAATCGGCCTGGCTGCTTCTCCTCTACTGTGCGTCGCCTCGGGCGCGGTATGCCATCCGCATGTTGTCCCCCTCGTCCACAGCAAGGTTTGCTGCCACCCATGACAGAGCCATTATTTCGCGTTTGGCGGTCTTGTTGTACGCGGACCTGCATGATGAGTTGCCTGCACTCGCCGTTGCGCGCGCGCAACTTGCTCTCCGGCACGGCGGCCTCGGGTTGCGCAGTGCGGCCTGCACGCCACCGCAGCTTACTGGGCGTCTTGGGCAGACTCCGTGCGTGCTATTGCAGCCCGCGCACCAGGATTCGCAGACCGTCTGTTGCTCCTCTTCGAAAGCCAGGGCCCCCTTCCGCCAGGGTGCGGGCGCATAGGTCGCCCTGTTGCTTTCTATGCGTAAAAGTGGCGCGAAGCCTAGGTTTGAGCGCGATTTGGAGGAAAAACAGGGCACTTGGACGTCTAGGAAACTATTGCCGTCAGGACAAGCTTTCATTCTTTGTTACATTGTGTTTCGGTTTCTGAGATTGAGCGTGTTAACCCGGAGTCCGCAATCCGCAAGACATAGAAAAACGAAAGCGTTGTAAATACCAGTGTTTTGGGCATGGTCGCCAAAGGCATGGACGCGTGTGACAGCTTTCCTTGTTCCACATCCTTGTGCAGTATGTTGTACAAAGACGCAAAAAAGTGCAAATACCAATGTTTTGGGCATGGTCGCGAATGGCATGGATGCCTGTGTTAACGTGTCTTGTTCCATGTCCTTTGCGCAGTGTGTTGTACAAACAGGCGAAAACACCGTAAATACTAGTGTTTTGGGCATGGCACAATATGAATGACCTTCTTATCCCTACCCGCCCCACCCCACCCCACCCCACCCCACCCCGCCCCCCAGCCGAACAACACCTGGAAAAAACATTGCAAAAGGCTTAAAAACCCTGCAAAAACACAGGGCGACTATCGCGCCCGCCACCAACTTCCGCCAGCCCCGGACGCTGCGCAAGTTGCCGTTGCCTCCCTGAGAGCTTGCGGCTGCGATGTTCCGGCATGGCATGCAGCCCTCAACTCCGAGCCCGGGATCTCCCAAGACGACGAGCCTGCCTTCGACTTCCTCCGCGGCTGGCAACGGCTCGCATCCAGGGCTGTTGATATCAGTGATGTCCTTGCCGACTCCACCGACTTGCCGCCTCTTGCCAGCCGCATGCCGTGAGCGGCCATGGCCTCACACCATGTGATGGACTCTCGCGTGCCTTTGAGTTGGGCATTAGCAGGAGCTGGGCGCAAAAAGGCCCGGAAAAAAAGAAAAAAACTAAACAAAACACACACATCTGGCGTTTGCAAACTTATCATATGTGTCGTTAGCACACGCCGAAATTCCCAACAATTTCAGGTGATGTTGCGTTTGTTGTGCATGTGCCGCACGCACGGAAGGTTTTTTTTTTAAAGGGAGGCTTGTACCATTTCGTGCCATTGGCAGTTAATTAATGGCATTCGCTGCCTCGTCGTTCTTAACAACCCGGTGCAGTAGAAGTTTTTGCAGGAGTTGTACAGCACGCCTACACTTGTTTCAGCAATAGCCTTTCTGGACGTCAGGTTTTTCTAATTGTTTCTGCCATGTTCAACGGCGCTTGTGGAATTCTCAGTATTGTTCTCCACCGGCTCCCGCACAGACATCCCACAGCGTTCAAACCTTTTGTACTTCTGTTGCGCGGACGTAGATGTCCGAGAAACATGATCTGTTGGCAATTGCCTTTTACGGGTCCTTGCCGCCGACACAGCAGGATTTGGAGCTGGATCTTTTCCATTTTTTGTGGTGTTTGCAATGGGAAATTTATGGAAATTTTCGAACCGCCCTCGAAACCGTTGCCTCGTGGGCAAGTGACCATGTTCCAGCAGGGTTTTGGACAGTTTTGGAGGCTACGCGTCGTTTTGGCCAAGTCATGAAGGGGTACCAAGCGCAGCGGTTCGTTCCGCAAATGCACGTGCTCGTTCCAAGGACACCTTCAGCAGCCAAATTGCGGGCGATGAGCAGCTTCGTCCCCTGGGAGGACCATGCACGTGGCAATTCTACGCATGTCTAAAGTTTGTTGTTGGGCTGCAATAACACGCTCCCTCGCATCACTCGGTCCAACAGGCGGGCTGGACACTTGTATCATCTTATGCTGCAGGACTATGGCGTGAATGCCAATCCGCGAAGTTCGAGATCTCGATCAACGTTTTTAATGGAAGGCATAGTGTTGGGACTTTTGGCGACAGCTCAGAATGTCCGTTTTGGACTATTTTGGTGAGGTCCGTCCGTGGCATCCTGTTCTCTGCCAGCGGACTGGCCTGCAGGCCCCCAGCTTTGTTGTTGTTGTTGTTGCTGCTGCTGCTGCTGTTGCTGTTGTTGTTGGAATTGTTGTTGTTCTGCTTGTGTGCGTGGTGATCGCAAACATGTACCAAGCCGAGGCATCAAAAGTCGTCCATTTGGAGTCCTGCCGAATAAAACCACGGCGTTGGCAACGATGGCTGGGCAACTTGCCCCGACAACATGGAGATTACTATGCCGTCTTGTGATGCATCTATAGATTAGACTCATGGTTTGCACGCATACCAAAACCATGCCCGTCTAAGGGAACAAGACAGGTCCGGAACCCAGACGTCCAGTTGTGCAGTTGTGCAGGGAATTCTTCGTCCATGGCACGTTGAGTTTGATAAAACAGTTTCTCAGGATCACCATGAAATACATATCTATGGTCGCGATGGACAGCAAAACTCTGGCGTTTCTGGGATGCAGATGGCCAGCTGTAGGTCTGTAGGTGATTTTCTGCAGCTTCAGAATCGGCTGCCTTCACATTTCCCACAACCATGGACCTTCAACCGCGGGCATGATTTGCCTAAGCGGTCATGTTGGTGCCTCCTCAGCATTTCGAGAGACTTGCTGCGGAGAAACATTTGTCCGAGGAATCGTCTCATCTTCGACCCTTCGTCGCCAAAGCGAATTGCTTTCGATTTGCTGGCCATGATCTTCTTGCTGTACGACTTGTGCTTGACTCCCGTTACCATCGCATGGGACTTTCCCATGGTTGGTTGGCTCTTGTATCCTGACAGCATGGGCCAAACCATGTAGAGTCCGTAGCATTTCTTGCTTCAATTCCCAGGTATTGCACCTCAGCTGTTGCGGTGTTTTGGACGATTGACATGGTCGTAATGTGCCGTACGGCATACTACCATGCAGGCTCGGAAGTCATGTTTGCCTGGTGCCAGAATCTAAACACCAAACCTTGGAGCCACATGCATCTTGCATGCAGGCAAGCTGGAGCGAGGCGCCCAGGTGTCCAGCGACATTGTAAGGGCATGTTCGTCGTCATGCGGTGGGCAGCTGAGGACCAGACCGCTGATGATTTTTCGAAGGTATTTGAGGACAGCAAGCTTGTATAAGTGTTTGCAGCAGTCATTCTGGGTTCATACATAATCATGCAGTCATAAAACCCCGAGCATGGGCCCTGCTGGGGAGGTGGAGTCGCTCTCGGCCCCACCTGTTTTTTGACTGTGCCAAGTCCATTTCTGTGATTCTATGGGGGTTTCACAAAATGAGCCGCGCCGTCATGCGATATTTTTCAAAGCATCTGTCAAACTGGAGTTCTGGCAGCCCACTACAGACTTTGACGTTTTTAGGTGTTGCGCGGTAGCTCAACTGCATGTTTCATTCACTCTGCATGCGTGTACACTTGTACACGCGAAACCAACAAATTCGTTTGTTTGCCAGGAGCACTTTTGCTTTGGATCTCATCATAGCCGCTGGGATTGGCTGTTGCGCGTCAGTCTTGTGATTGTGAGTAGGCCGTGTGAAAGCGAGCTCCGTATTTGCCAACATTCATTGTGTGCTGCAACTTTATTCGATGCAGCTCATGACAACGCTGGGGTAGCCTCGTGCTGACTTGTGCATGTCACCCCGAGGTGTGTGTTGATTGGTTAACGGTTTTTGTGAACAGCATCTTCCCCGAGACGCAGGCCCTCATCGCAGTTCGATTCCATTTTAAAGTTGGGTGAAGGCTTGTAAGGAGTAACATGAGGCAAGTCATGTTCTTGCGTATACGGGAAACCTTCGTTGTGTTGTGCATGCTACGGGGTTCCAGAATGGTTTTCAAAGTTACACTTCTTTATTCCGGGCAAGGGGTAGCCAGAAGCATCACGTGATATTTGGAATGAGCCGATGTAGCAAAGGTTTTAGTAATTTTGGCGGCATAGATAAGGATGCTTCACACTTTTGCATGTGTTGTGACAGCCGAAAGCGTCCAAGCTGTGTTTGGCTTGTCCTTGCGTGTCCAAGTTTTGCAGAGCTAGCATCCTCTGAGACACCCTACTTGGAGGGCCAGGGAGCTTGGTAAGTAGGTCGGAAATTGTTATGCGAAGGGTTACTATATGGATCATGGGGATATTGAGTTCGCTTGACCCTCCAAGTAGGACTATGGACTGGCCACGCGTCAGCGAGGGTCAGAAGTTTGTACCTTTCATGGGTAGTTTCCCTAAATGCGGGGAAAGATGCAAAAAAATGATCCTTCTTATTGGGAGCCCCAATGAGGCACCCCTGATATATGGAGACACTCATGTTTTGCTTTGTTCCCCCCATTCAATCCCAGGGTGCGCAGGGGCACGCATTAAAAGAAGCCCCTTAGCCCGAAACTGTGAGTCATGCACAGGCCAACGACAATCCTGAAGTGATTGGTCATGCCCTGAGATTGCCAGCAAAGGTGGTTCATGTAGGGACTTACAGACGGGGAAAATGGATATTATCTTCCGAATTATTCGGGCATCTCCAGTTGGGTTTCCTTGCGTACCTAACAAGAAACCTGATGCTCACGCGCTTGGAGAAGAGGCTGGAAGGGAGACACACTGTCTGAGGAACCTGTGCGGGGACCCAATTTCGCAGAACATTCCTCTTTGATGCTGAGAAAAAAAGAACCCGGCCCCCACAATGTCTCTACAGGGATCGTACAGTTATAAACTAAGGGGACATCCATGCCGCAATAGAGGAGTACACCGGGGGGGGGGAGGTCATTTTGGTCTTTTCAAAAGCGTTGTTCAGAGCTTGCATCTCTAGTTGTTCCACTTCGGGGTTTAGATTGCATTCGAGCTGTGAGCTTCGGGTTGGATTCGGGCGCTTGCCCGTCACGCCGCAAGTTGTACCAACATTCCTAGCCATAGCTCCTTACACTACCAGTCCGACTTCCAAAGGGATATGAGCTACAATCTAAACTCCCAGTATCCTCTCTAGTCATCCCTACAGTTTAGGAGTCCCCTATACAATGCCCTATAGAACCCGTTCGAGGGAGTTCAGTTTAGACTGTATAGCTCACATGAAAATTGCAGGCACCAGGTCCCACTAGAGCGTGATGAACTTTGAGAACGTCTTGCAGACGTGAACAGTCAATATATAACCCCCATATAACCCTAATACATACCCTAATATAACCCCTATAATCCCTATAGTTTCCATTTTCTTTTCCATTATCCCTATATAACCCCCATATGAAGCTTGCATCCAAGGTGCGAAATTAGTCCGCTTCTCCAAAGCTACTCGCGCCGTTCGCATTGTGAGCGCCGCTCGCCTTTTTGGATGTACTGGGGTTATTTTGGGATAATGGAAAAGAAAATGGAAACTACAGGGATTGTAGGGATTATATAGGGGTTAAAAAAGGGTTTTATTGGGGTTATATTGGGATAATGGAAAAGAAAATGGAAACTACTATAATATACTAGGGCAATATAGGGTATATATTGGGGTTCTATATAAGGATAATGGAAAAGAAAATGGAAACTACCATAATGGGTTTTATAGGGTTTTTATTGGGGACCTTAGTTTGAAGGGTTGCGGGCATCCAGACGCAAAGCGGGGCTTGCAAATAGGGGTTGAGAGGGGCCTTTGCGAAGACAGCCTCCCAGCATGCCCTACCTTGCATAGCTATGTGACAGTAGTACTTTCGATGAGCACCAGAAAAGAGATGACCAAGGAACAAAGCACCTCCAAATTTCTTAATCCTCATCCTCGGATTTTTTGCAAGCATCCGTGGGGGCCCAGCATTTGGTTCTCATGCCGATGGGCTCCTACTGCAAGCAGAGGTGACCCGAGTTGTCCGCATCCAAGTGTACCTTGAGCACCCTGGCTTGCAAACCCAGGGAACGTTTTTGAACATCTGGGTAGGCCCTTTGGGACATTTAATGTTGTCCCTAATTGCTTTAATAGGGGACCCTATATATTTTTTTTTCAAAGGGTTTTAGGGGCCAACCCAAACATTTGCTCAGAGCGGAGCTGCAATGTCAGCTCCGGCAAATGGGTGTTCCCCAAAATTAAGGGTACCTTATTTAGGGTCCCCATAATACGGATTATAGTATATTGGGGGCTATATAGCGTCCCCTTAGTTTTGGGAACTACCAAATGTAGGCCCAAGCGTTTTGGGCCCTTGAGACGGACCCACGTCGTGCGGGTCGACGCAAGCACACTACGCAGGTATTTTGACTTCTTGTTGCGGCAGCCCTGACCTGACCCCACCCTCTACTTGCAGGTTCATAGGCAGCCATACCTAGGGCTCTCAGAGTTCAGCAGAGAGATATAGAGGGGTAGTGGGTAGACTTATTCATACCCGAGAGAATGCAAGAGTCAGAGCCATACACGTCCAAACTTCACTTGCAAGCACCTATACCCTCAAGCAACTCTAGGCACCTGGGCGATCGTTTGCATGGCGGGTCATCAACGATGCTCGTCAAAAAGCCTTAAGCTACTTGGGTGTTTCCCAAAAGTAGGGGTACCTTATTTAGGGTCCCAATAATAAGGATTATAGTATATTGGGGTCTATATAGGGTCCCCTTATTCTGGGAAACTGCTACTTCAATTAAGGGCTTTTGTTTACTTAGCGCCTTGTAGGGATTCCGGCATCATGGGAAGCCTTCATGCTAAAGCTGCCGGCAGTTCATTCAACTGCCATCGCAGCAAATATGCTCAGAGCATGGCAGGTTGATGATGCAAAAGACCAATCCTAAACGCTAAACCCTAAACTCGCAGTTGCCCATATCTGCCAACAACAGTCAGCACCCTTTTAGAATCAAGAAGACGAAAAGTGCAGCTGTAATAATCTCTGTCTTCGCCCGTAAAGCATCCCGGATCGTATTCTTATAATGCGCATGTAGTCATAGCGGGTTTGGGGCGTTTCACAAGAGGGGAGGGGACCTCGAAGGGTACTTGGGGGTGCAAGAGCAGTTGCTAGTTGGGCTATATGTCTGAAAACTATACCAACCATTCTATCTATTTCGTATTTTACACAAAGCTAAACCCTAAACCCTTATCTCTTGAAGAAGATGCTAAATAGCCATGAGCCTTCAAATGTGCTCTAACCCCTCGAGTCAACGCAGAGGGTTTACTTGAGAAGTGTAGGGGGACTCAGCAAGTAGGTTTAACTCGGGTTGCTATATGGACTATGTATACACTAGGGGTATTCGCCTACTTGCTAAGTCTTCCTGACCCTGCCAATAGATGTTTCAAAAAATAGCCAGAGGTTAAAGTTGGGGCAGGCCCTGTACGAAGGGATACGGTCCTTCTTCGCAAACAAGGAGGGTCTGCATGCATGCAAATACTGAAGGTTGTTCATCTATTCAGTTTTATTGCCACAAATGGCGTTCTTTTCTTTTTGTTTGGGGGGTGGATCTGTATTGTGCACAGGGTCCTTTCAGACATGCGTGTTTTAACGGAGTCTTTATCTGAAAAACCACAAATCCGAATCCGACCTGATAAGGTCCTATGCCAGGTGGTGGGTATGTTTCCTTCTCTTGCGGACACCGTCATCTCCACAAGGCTAAACCCCCAAGCCCAAACCCCTAACCCCATAAACCCTAACCCTGACACCCTAAACCCTAAACCTAAACCCTAACCCTAAACCCTGACACCCTAAACCCTTGGATCCCTAGACAACCCCACCCCCAAGCCCCCTTTCAGAAACACCTTTCCCAGCTCTAACACTTAAGCCCGAAACCCGAAAGCCTTGCCTGGGGTCGCTTCCCAAGGAAGTATGTTGGAGACATGGCCAGACTGGCCGACTTCTTAGTGGGTTTAGGGTTTAGGGCTTAGGGTCTGAGGTTTAGGGCTTAGTGTGGCAACTGCTGGGAGGAATCCCTTCCCCTTCATAATGCAAATTCCCAATATGGTACCATGAAATGTACATATACCGTGGAGAATGTATGGTACTAAGGGATACTAGGGGGTTGCGGGGGTTCTAAGAAGGGAGGGAGGGAGGGCAAAATAGAGTCTAAGGTTTATGGGCGCATAGTTCGGCCTTAAGAATGAATATTGAAGGTGCCAAAGGTATTTATGAGTTACTACATAACATGTCATAAGCTGCATGCCAACAGTTCTTGTGATTCTTGTGGTATTGAAGCCTTGCATGAACAACTTGTTCAGTGAAGCGGTCGCTACAATCTGGATAAAAGGGCTTTGCCAAACTTAGGGATATTGCTTGGGGTTCCCCATAATGAGGAGTATAAGTGATTTGGGGGCTATATTGGGGTCCCCTTGTTTAGGGAAATTACCTTTTCAAGAATGACTCGCACTGTCAAAGACATCTTGAAGTTGCCTGGAGTGCCTGCAGGCACTTCCTAGCATGCAGGAGCAAATGAGAGTTTCCCAAAATGAGGGGTCCGTATTATAGTTTCTGTGGATCCACACTGGGGTACCCCAAAGCATGGAAGCTACCAAATGAGAAGGGGTTGACCAATGTGAGGTTTCATCACTACCTAAGAATTTGCTGGATGTACTTCATACATGGGTCCCTTAATTGGGGTGCCTCCCGATATGACCTTCGCCTAGAAGAGTTTCTTCTTCGTTTTGAAGAGGGAATACAAGCCTGCCCCGTGCCCAGATTGTCATCATCCTTTGGATCAACCACGTGATGAGCTGCACTTGGTTCTACATTGGCCGGGTCACTGTTGGCGACACAGGCAGGGCTGCTTTTGAGGTGCCATGTTGGCGTGCAGGGAAAGCCCCAGGTTAAAACAGGGATTATATCTGCTCAGCAGGCCCATACGAGTCCCACTGAAACCCCGCGTAGGTGGGTTTCCTAGTCCAGTAAGAACCACGCCAGGAGCGCATTTCTGGGCAATCGAGCCTGAGCAGCTTTAATGGGTTTCAAGCAGCAATCACGGTGCTGTGTGGCAAGCCTTTTCGATGGAGACCTTGTTCATTCCTACTTAAACCATGTTGTCTTTTACTGGGCCAGTGCTGCTTCCTGTGCTTGAGGCTGATGGGTTGTGAGCCCCACCCTGAGCGATTAATTTGGCTTTTGATTCTTGGTTTTCTTCATCCTGAAAAAAGGTCCTTGGGATGGTTTTGACATTCTAGAGGGTTCAGCGCAGTTTCGCCAAGCGCCCTCATGCACTCAACGCAGTTAATCCCTCATGCGACATCTTCGCACGTTTCTGTTTGGATAGTGGTCAGTGAAAATCCCAGTACATGTTGGATGGAAGGGGCCCTTTCAACATCTTTGGTGACAATCAGACAAGCCCTCGCTCGCAAACCTCACTGCTTCGGCAGAGCGGTAAACCCCGTGTCAGGCACGAGCTGGCTTAACGACCCAATCCGGGATGAGAACAGCCCGTTCTACTCTGACACCTTGCCGTAGGGCCCTTAGGGGGTTTTGGGTGGTTTAAGGCTTTTTTCAGTTTTAGGGCTTATGGTTCTCCAGGACAGTTTACAGGGTCGAAGGTTTACGCCTTAAGTCTTAAGCTTTAGGCGCTAAAGGCCAGGTTTCAGGGTTCAGGGGGTAGACTGATCGGCCATGACCTCCAGCAATCGCTGCTGGACAACATCACCGGGCAAGGGATAGGTACCTGAAAGCCAAATTTAGTACACCGTTCAAGTTGTTTGGTGGAGAACTTGGTACTAACCCAAGCCTTCAGTAAAACCTTGGGACTCCCATAGACCAGAGCCTTCAAGCCTTCGAAAGGGTGTGCTGTAAATACAGTTACCCACATTATTCATGTCTTCTACCTGCTGATTCGCGGTAGTTCACGGTAGTTCCTACAAAACCGCAGGTAATTCATCCTTAAACACTAAACCCCAAACCCTAAACCCTAAATCCTTAAACCCTTAAACCCTACACCTGGGTTACAGTGTAGGACTGAAGCTTGAGGATGACCTAGGGTTGACATGAGTTAGAGTGTAAACTAAGGGGATAATATAAGGGGTTATAAAGGGATTATATAAGGGGGGTTATATAATATAAGGGATTATCTAGGGATGGTTTAAGGGGCTATGCAGGGGGATGCTAGCAGTTTAGATTATGGCTTGCATGAAATTGGAAACTGCAACACTCACCATTCGTGCCGACTGCCGACTGCAAAGCCTTGTGTTTGAGGCTGTTCCAGTATACCACCGCCTTTCACTGGGCCATCACTCAGATGACACCCGGCTCGATGCAGGTGCGACGAATTGTGGGGCAGGGACTGTGGCATTATTTCGAGATAACAGCTTTATATCAAAGACATCCAATGTATGTCCTGAGCAGGGTTTACTTAAACGCCGGGACATGTCTTACACTTAGCCCTCGACAAGGGAGAGTAGGAGAACAGTGACCCTTTGTGCTATCAGATGTAGCCATGTTCTTCACACGGCCCCCAGAAAGCCAGTGTTCGGAAATGACAGATACGTTGTTTGCTGTTCTTGGCTTCAAGCAGGAAGCTTTCAACCCTTGAACCTGGGACAAGAGACTGCTGTTTGTTTCAGTGAGTCCTGAATACAGCCAGACGTGTTTCATGGAATGCTGTTCCTGACAAAGTGAGTGTGCCTCACGCTGCATTACAAACTCTCTAGAACCCTTCCCGTCGATCATGTAAGAGCTAAGAGCGCCAGAATTTCTCAACGAGATGGGCATTATCATTGAATTTCTGGTAGCCTTGAAAATAAAAGATCTCAACAAGCTGCAAAATGCGTAGCCCATATCTGCGCTATGTCTCCCCGCTAGTCTCTAAAGGAGCACTACAACCCTAAAGTTTTTGAAGCCTTTACATGAAGCAGCGCACCCCAACATTCCTACACCCGAAGCTTAGAACCAAACTCCTCAAAGCTACACCCGCCACCGCCTGAACGATGCATCTGTGACGTGCGTTCATCCTGTGCTGTTCGGATCTGATGCTTTTAATCTCCATGGCCAGGTGTTTCCCCGCAACTCGCGGCCAGCCGTGATTCAGAACATTTTTTAGGATGGCCAGTAAAATTCGTATTATCATCATTTCACCAATAATTCTGAGGACCCAGTACTCACGGTATTCATATGAGGTTGTTGCTTTCACAGGGTTTGGGGAATGTATTGAGTTTGTTACTGAGTGGACCTTGGAGGTCCTTCCTTTTCGGGGTTCTGTCCTGACCGCAAGCCAATTAAACAGCGGATTCTCATAAATCGTGTGGGCCCATCGTTGTTGTCATGGTTATCATCATCACTATCATCTGGCTCTGCTTTGGCGTGGAGGAGGGCTTATGCAAACAGGATTGGGGTTTCGGGGCTCAGGGATCAAGAGTTTGCGGTCTAGAAGCCCGGGCACTTTCAAGAGTCCTAGATGCAAAACGGTCTTAAGGGTTGTCAGACGCTCCGTTCATGAACTCCATGAACTCCCTAAGTTTTTACTGTAAGGTTACTAATATGAGCCATTATCTAAACTCCGTAAAGAGGACTTTCTAGTGGATTATATACGGGATCTATGGCATATGTTTGAGGATGCTGGTAGTTGGGTCTGTTGATCAGGGGTTTCTGCCAAGGCTATGGCACCTTCTGGCCATGACTGATAGGAGAGTCGAAGATGACCACCCCTTTTTCGGCAAGGTGCGTACATGAGTCGTTTGTTTAGGGGTAGGGGAGGGTCCCAAAACCTTAGACTTTTAAAGGTAAACCCCCTATAAAAGCCTAAGCCATCCTAGGTCTTGTGCTTTTGGGAGGATCTTTTCGCCCTAATCCTTTGTTCGGGGGAGGGAAAGGTGGGCAACGAGCCAACAAGGCTGGAACGTTTGTTCAACATCTTCGCGCTGGTCTTTGGCATGCTCCTTGTCACTGATTCCCCAGATGGCGGAGGTATCGGGTTTCATATATGTATACATATACATATTGATATGTATACATAGATATATTATATACACCTAGAAACAGGGCGGTCAGCACGCAGTTTCCGACTCAGGGTGCTGCCCGGGTTGCGGTATTTGCTGTTGAGTTCTGTTCGAGGGTGCAGGGTTGTGGGCTTCGGGTTGACGCTTCAGGAACTTGGGCTCATTCTTGAGGGTTCAGGGCTTTGGGTTTAAGTGCAGCTGGTGCATGGCCCAGATACATCCTCCTTGTAATGCTTGTGGGCCGGACAAGGGAGTACTAGCAGTGGTGGTACGTAGTTGAGGTTTGTGAAGTAGCAGCGGCAGTGGCGCTGACGGTGCTGGTGGCTGTATCATCTGGCAGCCGTTTACGCAATTGTGACTAGAATTGTCACAGCTGTTTGTAGCAGGTGCTATGTCCCATGAACCTCCAAATAGGTTGTCATGGCCCCCAACAGGAGTCCTTTTGAGACCAGCACCAAAAACATCTAGAAACCACCCCCGGCATGATAGGAGGACTATTATACATAGCCACCAGTGCGTCAACGGAAGACTGTGGCTCAAGCTTTGAAAGTACTGGAATGCCAGCGTAATGAACTGCAAGGGTTCAGGGTTCAGGGACCGTGTAGGGCCTTAGGGTTTTGGGTTGGGGGGCTGTGTGGTTTTAAGGTTCAGTTGAGGGCCCCAGACTCTGAAACCAGTGTCTGAGGATCTTCTTCAGCTCACTGATTTCTTCGCTCTCCGCGACGATGGCCAGCGGCTTCCATTTTCTCTTGCATTGTTACTATTATGATTGCTAGTATTATAAGTATGATTATTCTTACTTTTATCCTTTGTTGTTGTGAGCCTGTATCCATGGCCCTTGGCAAAAGTAGTTGCCATTGAGTCTGCCCACAGCCTTTTTGTTGCTATTTGTTTTTGTTGTTCCCCACTCATGTAGTCAAGTGCTATGCAGTTGGGCCAAGCACACGAACTGCGCAACTCTGGCGTAGGGTTTTGAGTTGAGTTTGAGGAGGCTGAAGCTTTCGGTTCTTGGGCTTTAGGGTTTCACGGTTCAGGGGTTTCAGACCCGACGTGGTTGATTGCAGCAAGCTGCTGCAACAGGGGTTTAGGGTCTAGAGCTTGCGGGGTCCGGTCTGGAGTCTCGGGCCCAACGTGCAGGTGAACTTCCGAATGAAGAGCACGCAGACGGCCAATCAGACTCCTGGCAGACATGGCAAGGATGGGTTCAAGCTTTTTGGCGTCTGTGGCCCGTGGCATGCATATAGAGAGGCTCCCCTTCACAAATTCCAATATAGGAGCTGTAGTCTAAACTCCTGGTAGCCCTTCGCTAGAAAAATCCGCTATATAAAGCCTTATATAACAGCCCTTCCAGGAGTATAGACTATGGCTCATATGGGGCTCTTCCTCATACGGACTGCCAAATGAAGGGGCCCCGGGTGGTTGGAAACCTCTTCCCCCAGTATCAATCACCCCCCACCGCATGGTCTGGGATTTACCAAAAGGTATGTAGCAAGTTCATCTAGTACACCATTAGGCCATAAGGCTTCTAACCATACAAACCAAGTCGTTGGCAGGCCTTCAGATGATTCCTGTAATGGCCGTATACGACTACATTGACGGGAGCCAGATTAGAGGTAAAAGCGAGGGGTGCATCTGGTGGGGCTTCTTACGCAAATGATTTTTGACGGTATCCGGTCGTCTTGTAGCGGAAGCCCTGATAACCCTGGTAGTAAAATGAATTTGGCCAAAAACTGACTACCTTGCATTGAGTTGGAGGCTCTTTGTCTAGGAGCCTCCCAACATGAGGTTTCGTTACCCCGTATACATTGTCTATTACATTCACGAGACTGTAGTTTCTAAGAAACTTGTGAGTAGACCCTACTATTATTACTACTACCACCACCACCGCCGCCGCCGCCACCGCCACCGCCACCGCCACCGCCACCGCCACCCCCACCACCATCCCCACCACCATC